AATTATCTAAACTTTTATCAATTTTTAAAGTAATAATTTCATCTTCAAGTGTTTTATCTTTACATTGCAATTCTTTGATTGTTTGTTTAATCTGATTGATCTCCTGTTGTAAATCTTGTAATGTAACTTCTTTTTGTTTATTTTTAAATCTTTCTAAAGTTTTTGATAGACTAATTATAGGTTTATCAAATTTAGGTTTGGAATCTGAATGAATTAATAGGGATTTTAATTTATCAGTATATTTTTGTTTTAACTTGGGATCATCTAATTTACTAATTAGATCAATTAAAGCAGATTCTTCTTGAGTAGTTTTGGTAAGGACAGTAATTTGTTTAACGGGTTTACAACAAACATCATTACAACCTATTTTAATACCATTATCAGAATCATCACTGGGTGATGGGGAATCAGAGGAAGTAGTAGGATGATCAGAAGAGGAACTACTAAGGGAGTGATTTAATTGAAAGATTTCATATAATTGATTTTTAGAGATATCATCAATTTGGAGTTGATTAACTCTATCTTTTAATTTTTGTTTGTCTTTACATTTATTTGAATAATGTCCTTTTTGACCACAATTATAACAAGTAACATCTTTAGTTGATTTAGATTTTGGATGGGATTTGGATTTATAATATTTCTTTTTGGGTTTAGTATAGAATTTATCATTGGATTTGGAAGGTGTATAGTTCTTCTTATATTTATATTTATTGGAATGTTTATAAGCTGATTTATGTTTGGAGTATTTGTGTGATTTCCTACGAGAGGGTGCCACTGGAGGTAAACCATATTGTTCACAGAAATTTCCTAATTCGTACTTAGCTTTATGTTTATCTTTATTAGCTTTTTGTGTAAGTTTGAGGTCAATACACATTTTTAAACCTTCTTTTTGAATAGTGCTAATTATATCACCATACGTGAGGTTATCATATTCAATAACACCAGTGGGTTGACTAAGAACATCTCTGATTTTATGGGCAAATAAGCTAGGTAGTCCATTAATAAATTTTTCTTTCCAAAATGATTTAGTACAGTCTTCTCTTAACATAACTCGAGAGGTAAAGACATCTTTATACCATCGAAAATCACTTAAGGTTGGACAGTTAAGGTTGCTAAGTTGATCATGGATTCGAGAATAAATATTTGTAGGTGTACCAATAAAATGGCGGACTATGGTATATATTAGTTGATTAATACCATCAGGGTGACAACATCCTATAGATTCATCAAAAAGAGGGAGACCATTTTCATCAGTTTGATTAGCATAAATAACAGAGTCACGGTCTGTTTCAGTGAGATATTTTTCCCACCAAGATTTGAGCATACCAGTAAAACCAGAAGTTAGTAAAGAAACAATTTCAGGTTGAGAGTATTGGGGATAATTACTGAGGTAACTATTGGCGACCATTGATAAATGATTTAATTTTTGAAGGATTTGATCTTCACTAAGGCCATCAATATTCCATTCGTATAATCTTTTAGCAGAAACAGAAAATTGATTACTAATATTAGTATCTTCAAATTGGAGATCAACAGGAGTTGGTTTAGAATACCAGTTTTTGGTATTGTGAGGATTAACTTTGGGATAGTGAATTTTATTAAGAGTAGTAGGTTGAAACTGTTGGGCTAATTGGTTGATTTCATTATCAGTAGTATCAGTTTCAGACTGGCCAGATACAGTATTAGTAATAGGTTGTTGATGCAAAACAGTAAGACCTTTATCTTTGGATGTAGAAGTATCATTAGGAGTTAATTTAGTAAATAATTGTTCAATAGCTTTGACAGTAGATTGATCATTAGTAATTAGGCTAGTTCGTTTAGAGCGATGACTAGGTAGATTAAGTAATGGTTGATCTAGAGATTTAGTTGATTTGGCAGATTGGTCATCTAAATTGGTTTCTAATTTATCTAATTGTTTACCAATTGTTTTTAGACATTGATTAGTATAATTATTTTGTTCAATAACTTTTTTGATCTCAGGGTCGGTGCCAGGTAATTTAAAAGGAGAGGCTGGGACTTCAGAACCTTGGTGATCAATAATTATATTTTCTAATGGAGGATGATTAGAACTGACAGAAGTATTTGGAGAAGTTTTCCATTTATGTTTGGTGATTGTATTAATCTTTTTGTAATATTGATCCATATAATCAAAGAAAGATAATTCAAAACCATATTGAACCATGAAATTATACCATTCTCTAGTTATTCTGGATTGTTGAACAGAATTATATTTAGCACTATAAGCATGTCGTTTAGTTTTATTTTCTTTAGATCGGAATTCAATAAGTAATTTATCTAAATCAGGGGTAAAATCTTTTTTGATTGTCATTAGCTGGGGATTCACAGGTTGTATAAATTCTTCGAAATCAGTTTGAGTTGGGGAATTATTAGAAGCAATGTCTTCTTCGGGTAATTGTGTTTGAGTAGTGTAAACAGGTTTACTAATTTGAGAAGTTGTAGAATTATCAATTCCTTGTAAGTTATTTTTACAGTTTTAAATATGTTAATTAAATGTTTTAATTAAATGTTTTAATGTGTTATTCCAATGTTCTTTTGTTTATGATCTTTTGATTTCGTAATCCATCTTCCTTCATATATATGCTACTTTCGCCCTTTTGGTATCAGAGCCAAGTTATGTTGTATCCTGTTTCTAACTGTTTAGCTACTTCTGATCAATCGTCTTCCTTGTTTGTTTAATTAATCCTGTTTTCAGTTCATCTTAATCACCCGACAGAGGATAATAAACTGCTTTTAATTAAATGTTTTAATGTGTTATTCCAATGTTCTTTTGTTTATGATCTTTTGATTTCGTAATCCATCTTCCTTCATATATATGCTGCTTTCGCCCTTTTGGTATCAGAGCCAGGTTATGTTGTATCCTGTTTCTAACTGTTTAGCTACTTTTGATCAATCGTCTTATTTTTAAAATATTTTGGTACATTTTAAAAGTGTACATTTTGCTGAAAAAATATTTTTTGAGTACGCTTTCACTGTGCATATTTTTTTTAGTACATTTTGCTTAAAAAAATGATAATTTGCTGAAAAGATACTAAAAATACAAAAATATTTTTTCAGTACATTTTTTGTATTTTTTTGTATTTATTAATTTTTTCACAATTTTTTTACTTTTTAGATATATCTAACTAAGGTGCATCTTAAAAAGTAAAAAAAAAAGTTTAAAATTTTAAAAATATTCACCAAAAACAAAAAAATACGAAAATAAAAAAACTTAGTTTTCAAATAACTAAATCCAAAAAATTCAAACCAAATACACTGAATACTTTTTAAATAATCATGTTGACATTTTGAAAAAAAATGTATTTTATAGAAAAAATTTTAGTTAAGCAAATAAACATTTTACTTTTTTTTGATAAAAAAATTACATAATAAATATATAAAGTATAGAGTGAGTGGAAGGAAGAAAAAAAAAATAGAGTTGAACTTAATTGAAGCAATTCCCACAGATTGAACCCACACCACTGTGGTACAAAACAAGCACACTACCATTTGTGCTACAAAGCATTTGAGTTTTATTTTGGTCACATTTTAATATATTTTAAACGTTTTTGTAAGAAAACAAGTAAAAGCATGATTTCAAATAGCGAATACGAATGCACAGTGAAAGCGCTATTTCGAATAGCGTTTTCTTTAGAAATTTTTTTTATGCTAAAAGCGTGATTTTCAACCGCGCTTTCTTAATTAAAAGCGCGGTTTGCAACAGCGCTTTCACTATTCATCACATTTTGGGCTCCAAACAGTGAAAGCGTGATTTGTAATAGCACTTTAGCTTAGTTTGGGAATTCCGTCCAAACTAGGCCTAGTTTGAGAATTAAGATATAAAATAGGTTTAGGGGTTGTTTGGAGTGTCTTAAATAAGTATACTTTTTGTCTTTTTGGACTAAAAATTTGAGGAAGAAAATATGAATGTTTGGGTTAATTTTTTTACTTTTTATGGAAAAATGTGTAATAAAAAATTGTAAAAATTGATTTATAGGAAAAAATTAAGATTAGAAGTTATGCAGCTGTAATTGTTGACTTTTGATAAATAATGTTAACTTTTTAACTTTTTAAATAATTTTTTAATTTTTTAATTTTTTTACAATATGTTAAACTTGACCTTAATATGAAAAAAGCTCCGAATTATTAACTAAATATAGTAACAAGTAGGGTGGGAGGGATAGTAACAAGTAGGGTGTGAGTGGGGATCCTTGCCACCCTAAAACTCCGAATTATTGACTAAATATAGTAACAAGTAGGGTGGGAGGGATAGTAACAAGTAGGGTGTGAGTGGGGATCCTTGCCACCCTCATTTCTGGTTTCACTGACCCTTATGAAACTCTCCTCGCCCTCACAAATGTGAGTCCGGATTCTCGGCCGCCCTTCTCTGCGGCCGTCCCAGCAGCCCCCCAAAACGACGTCGTTTTGGGGGTTTTTTTGTTTTTTTTTTCTTTCTTCTTCCTCGTTCGAACGAACCAGAGGGGAGGGGAGAGGAAGAAGAGAAGAAGGGGGAGCCGCCGGTGGGCCGGACTGGAGGGGGCCATAATCACCGGGGGAGGAGGAGGAGGAGGCGACGACGGTGCAACTACTGCGACGAGCTGGATCGGGCGACGATCGGACGGCTGGCGAGCTCGACGACCTGCGACGGCGAGTCTTCAGCGAATCCGAACCCCCTCCCTTTCCCCTGGTTCTACGAAGAAGAAGAACAGAAAAAAACAGAAAAAAAAAAAAAACAAAAAAACCCCCAAAACGACGTCGTTTTGGGGGGCTGCTGGGACGGCCGCAGAGAAGGGCGGCCGAGAATCCGGACTCACATTTGTGAGGGCGAGGAGAGTTTCATAAGGGTCAGTGAAACCAGAACAACCCTTATGTGATCCGCAACCCAATAAGAAATTATAATAATATTAAAACTCAATATTTAAATATTAAAATTAAATTTTTTAATCAAAAGTCGTATATGGGTAGGGCCGGACCAACCTTATGATATTCTGGTTAGTTTTTGGTTCCTTCCATCCATTCCATTTCATTCCATCCTCTCTCTCTCTCTCTCTCTGTGTTGTCGGTCGTTGTAGTTTGAATCTGAATCTTTGAAATTGTTGGTGAAAGACAACATACGTAGTTGCAGGTGGAAGCAAAGATGCCCAAACAAGGTGGAAATCGAAAAAGGAACGAATCGTTCTTGACTCGGTCGGTCAACTCAGTTTTCGCTTTCGTTCGATTCGCTGAGTTCGAGATCCTCTTCGTTCTCTTCTTCCTTGTAGCTTTTATCATCTTCAAGGATCTGGTCAGTTCATTTCTCTTTCTCTCTTCCTTTGCTTTTATCTCTCAATTTTCTCACCGACCAAACGGAAGTGTTAAATATTTGACAAATGCTTTGTTTGATAATTTTTTATTTATTTTTTTAAAATTTTAGGGCTTATTGGACTATGAAATGTTAATGGCAATGGATTGTGGCACTCTTATGAACTTTTGATTGCAAACTTTAATCAATGAAAAAAAAGAGAAAAAAAAAGGGTTTTGAATTAGTTATATTTATGCCTCTTGGGAAGAAAAGAAAACCCTTTTTAAGACTCTTGAAATGTGGCGGAATATAAATTTGTGTGTATTTTTAATGGATTAAAAATGAAATTTTATTAGGGAAGAGAAAGGGAGTACAATGAGAGGAAATATTTTCCTAATGCTGTGTTTAGATTTTGGGTTTGGTTTGGGTAAAGATTTGTGGAGGGAATTGGAATGGGAAAAGTGACAAAAATTGAAACTAAATTTTTTCTTTTCATTTTTTCATTCTGTTCCCTTTTCATTCCACAAATTCCTACTCAGATTGCTTTTCCTTTCCTTCCTCGAATTCCTATTCAGATTCCAAACGCAACCTAAAGGGATGAGTAAACTTCAGTGCTAGTACAATTTAAAATTAAAAACATGTTGGTATGATATGTTTTTAGGCAAATTGTTTAAGGTGACGGGATGGAGTCTGTTAATTTGTTGTTCTGATCAACACAGAAGCTACTTTTACTACAATTTTACATATTCCCTTTTGAGGTTCGAAGTTATTATGACTTTGGCTAATATAATAGATGTCAATCGCCATTGTGGTCTAAGACATGGGGGGCACTATCATGTCACCCAATATAGAAAGGTAGATTGATTTGGTTCAATTTGGTCATAAGAGTTAAAAGTACAACCCTCAACTGTATGTTGTCTTGGAGATTTCCTAGTAAGCAAAGAACTATTTATTGGCACTTAGGTAGGAAGCATGGACACAACTCCTAGGGAGGCATGTCCGTGTGATGTGTTGGTCGTTGATACTCGTTGGACAACCGTGGGCAATGTCTGAGCATGTCTAACAATTATATATATATGGACATGTTTTGGACACACAAGGCACATGCGTCCATCTCTTTGACACACTCAAGGCCAATATGGGGTCTTGGCACAGGTTTGAAGATAATAAAATGGGGAAAGAGATTAAAACCCAAAGAATATGTATTTAGAGCTACTAATCTCTTTGTTTAGTCTTTTTCATTTTTTAATACTGAGACGTACCAATTTCTAATTTGTTTGGGGAAATATTTGGGGCTTTTCATTTCTGCTTCTTTTCCAATATGTCAACCTTGTTTTTATTTATATTTAGCCAAGAAATATGCAGAAGCCGAGGAAAAAATTCTGACACTGTTATACAGAATTGCTCTGCTCCGTGGTGCCGATTTTTTGGGTAGTCATTCTTTGCTTAATGCACTTATAAAAGACGGTTGAATTGAAATTGCCCATTGTATATATGATGAAATGGTTGATTGTTGCCATAAATGAGTGAACGTGGAATAGGGCTTAATCGGCAGGTGGATTGCTGCCAAGTCAAGAAGCAACATACATGCTATGGTAGGATTAATGCAATGAAGTCATTTATATAGATATTACCAAAATATGGGAAGGATATATCGGGAGTGGCTGGTGATATGGATTAATACTACTATGGACAGTTTCGATAGTTTCTCCGAATGTGCATTTAGAGTTCTAATTTGAAATAGTTACCTGGTCAAAAATTAAGAATTGAATTTTTTATTTTGGATAAAAAAAACTTCCGTTTTTTGGTGACATGAGATTTGGACCAATCCATATTATACCTCTGAAGGGTACTGAATTGGTTGGTTAAACTTCTAATTAAACCAGTTTTTCTAAGAATACATGTTTTGGGATATACTGGATTATTATTTATAATCTGGTATCGACTATAGTTGTGCTATTCAGCCCCCTTTTTTTTTGTTTCCTTAAGGTGAATTTCAGGGAGAGGACTCTCTCCGGAAGAATTTAGTGCTGGCCAAGGTAGGGGTTAGGAAGATGGAGAAGGATGAGTTTGAGGAATTGGCTGCTCTAAAGTATCAGTTGTTTCCTCTAGTCATGTGAAACATTTAAAATAAAACAATTACGTTCTTAGACAATGAGAGAACAAAGAGTCATTGTTTTGATTAGAAATCGAGGATAGGTGAGAGGGTTACAAAGGATTAAAGTGGGATGTCTTTCAAGTTGGCTCAAGTACAAGGTAGATCCTCTGCAAGACTGCAAGTTGGTTGTAATATCAATCCAGAGGTGAGCAATAATACTCATAGAGGCTGAGCTAGGAAAGTGGAATTATTTATAACAAGTCTCAGAAGGACAGGCATTGATTTGAAGCCTTTCTATCCATCTCTGATACTTCCATGGCATCTATTTGGGCTTGTAGTTTCATGAAAATAAGTATATTAATGTATGTAAATGACTTAACGAGAGGCCTCTTGGAAATTGTGACACTGAACTAGTAAGTGTCAAGAACGTGAAGTGTTTATACAAAATATAAAGCATGTTTAACTGGAAACTTTCTATTTCAGCAGAAACTAGGTACGTTAACGGGCTTAGAAAGTGATCCCTGGAAATAAAGTTTACCAAAGTGTTGGAGGTAGTCAAAGAACTTCCAGAAGCCGCCAAGATGCTGCCCTATGATTTTGCACTATGGATTAAATAGAAAATGGATTTATCATCCATATTTTTCTCTTGACGGCGGCAAACTTCATCAAATTGACCCGGTGAATTATTGGAGTTGCAAACTTACAATACAATGTGGATATTGAATGTGTCCTCTTTTTCATCCATTCTTGTTGTGTCATCTTCTAGCCATGGGGATATTGATTTTTTTTTATCAGCAACAGAAAAGATAAATTTTATTAAGGCTCATGGCCAACAAGAAGAGAGGATAAGGCATCCTCAACAAGGAAAAAGAAAAAAAGACAATAAAAAAGACAACCAAACCAAAAGGCAACCAACTACAAACTATACAAAACAATCCGACACCCAATCTGAAGCAATCAAAAAAAAAAAAGGGATCCCTTGGAACATAGGACTCGCTGAGGCCCAAAAAGACGCCAAGTATCTCACTCTATCCCATAAATAATCTATATCCCTAGTTCCTCCTTCGAAGATACGCCCATTCCTTTCCAACCAAATGACCCAGGAGATTGCAAAGACTACAAACTCCAAAGAACTTTAGCCCTCTTCGACCTTCCAAAAGCTTGAAAATCAAATAATAGCATTTGAGCAACTCCCTTAGGAGCCACCCACTGTACATTGCCCAAACCAAACACCCTATTACACAAAAACCCTGCCACCGAACAATGTAAAAAAAGATGATCTAAAGATTCTCAACTTTTGCAACACGTTATACACCATTGAAGATTAAGATACCATGAAGGTCTCCTCTTTTGCAATGAATCATTTGTCAAAGTGCTCCCATGGACCAAGATCCACATGAACACTTTCACCTTAAGAGGAGCACATGCCTTCCAAATCTTTTTGTGAAACAAAAATTGAGGTACATGCAGAATATCAATGATTTTGTCCGGAAAGGATTTACAAGTAAAAGAGCCTGACGAATGAATATTCCAAAACCACCGATCCTCCAAATTTGGAGATAAAGAAACATTTTCATGCCTTGACAATAAAGATATCAACTCGGAAGCTTCCCTATCATGAAGGTTTCGGAAAAAATTAAAATTCCACGAACAAGGAGACAATGAAGAAATAACCACGGACGCAACAGAACAATTATGAGACTGAGAAACTCTATACAGAAGTAGATAGGACTTAGCAAATGAGAAAGAACCCACCCAAACATCCTCCCAAAATCTTACTGTGTCCCCCTTACCCACCCTCACAGAAATGAATTAGGACCAAATTGGATAAATATGAGAAATTGACTTCCACGGAGCACGCCCATTACCCCTGGAAACCACTTAAGAGTCCCTACCATTAACATGCAACTCATATTTACTTTTGATAACTGCATGCCATAATGAACCACACTCAATTGGAATCTCCATAACCACTTGCCTAACAAAGCCATGTTTTTAGCCACTAAGTTACCAACTGCCAAACCCCTCTTCTCCTTTGGTAATGACACCGTTTCCCAATTCACCAAATGATCCTTCATCCTTCCCTTCCCACAGAAAATCTCTCATTAGCTTTTCTATGGATTTTGCTACCTTGACTGGAATCTTGAACAAAGACATGAAATAAATAGGAATCCCACTTAGCACTGTCTTAACGAAAGTGTACATACCCCACCGGACAATAAGGCCCTACTCCACCCTTCTAACCTCTTTACCTATCCTTTTCACCACTGGATTCCAAAACATTTCACCTCTTGGGTTACCTCCCAGTGGGAGGCCTAAATACTTCGTAGGAAATGTCTCAATCCCGCAACCAAGTAAATCGGCCACACTCTGAATTAGTCTTGAATCAGTATTAATACCTGCTACCGTACTCTTTTCTAAATTAACCTTAAGACCTGAAATTGTCCCAAAAAGCCTTACCACTAAAAAAAGGTTTGCCATTTGGCACTCGTCCCCCGTAGAGAAGAAAATAGTGTCATCCGTAAATTGCAGATGCAACACACTAATCCTATCTCTATCGACCTGTAAGCCTTCAAACAGGCCTACCTCTTTAGCTCTGTCAACCATCCTACCTAACACATCCACTACCAAAATGAATAGGAAAGGAGATAAAGGGTCTCTCTGTCTCAACCCTCGCGAGGCCTTAAAACACTTCCCTGGTTTACCATTAACTATCACCGACATATTACAAGACACCAGACAACCCCTAATCCAAGATCTTCATCCCGCACCGTACCTTTTCTTGTTCATCACAAAATTCAAAAATCACCAATTTACATGATCATACGCTTTTTCAAAATCTGCCTTAAACACAATGCCTACCTTTCCTGACTTCCGACACTCCTCTACCACCTCGTTTGCCACC